CCATGTACGTCTGTCTCACTGTCTGTCTGTCGGTCTGTCTCTCTGTCCATCTGTGTGTCTAATGAAATCAATTTTCTGAAGACCCTAGATATCTTCGGGATCCAAATCTTTAATACTTCTGTCAGACAGGCTTTCAAGAAGTTTCCTATTTTAAATCATCAAAAAAATTTCCTGAAACAATGAAAATTTTAGTACATGCTTTGACAGAAAAACACAGCTGTGTTACTTATTGGAAAAGCGTATGTGTGGTTGTATGTTGGTTTTATTGCTTTGCTTATTATGTTGGGGTATTGTATGTTTTGTTTCGTTTGGCTTTAGTTGTTGTTGTTTTATGTTTTGTTATTGCTAAAGTAACGATAGATTTGGAATATATAAAATAAATTGAAATTTTATAAAATTAAACTTATTTTCAATACACTATGGTGAAGGTTATATAAGATTCGGCAAAGGCGAATATTGAACCCTTACTTGTTTTATTTAAATTTAAAGATAAGAAGCCCTTAATGAATGTATTTAGGCTTAAAATCACATTTTCTACCGAAAACAATTTAAAAGGAAATTATTTTTTTTTTTTATTCCATTTCAAATTTTTTTATAATCTCTCTCACATATGAAAAAGTTGTTTATACGACTTCTAACTTCCTTAACAACCAAATACATCATCATTTTTGTTTTAAAAACAACAAAAACTTTTATACAAAAAATATTTTTGTTTATCTTTTTTTGTGAGAAAAACAAATCCCATTTTTCATATTGCCTTCTTAAAAATAAAAATAATGTTCTTTTGTTTGGGGCAGTTTTGTCTATGTATTTGTTTATATAAGTGTACTTGTTGTTGTTTTTATCTCTCTGCCCTTTTCATGTGAGTGTTTCTTCACATACAAACATAACTACAACAATTACAACAGTACACATTTGTTGAGGATATTCTGTGCGAAAAATATGAGTGTTGGTTTCCATTTAATGGCATTACTTAGAGTGTACATTTTTTATTAAAAGGGCCTGCGTTCGCATGTGAGCAGAAAAATTGACAGCAATTATAACTAGAAACTATTTTTTTATAACTTTGTCATTAAATGTTTTATACGATTGAGAAAACATTTTTCACTGGAGTAACAGTTAAAGTTTGTTCCAATGACCATCAGGTGTGGTGCTGTGGGAACTAAAATTGGGGCGCCTTTGACATGTTCAATTTGTTAAAGCTATTTATATTTTTCAATCAATTTTAATGTTACCAGGAAATTGTCCAATAGGAAATTGTACCATCCTAATGAATATACATACATATGTACATATGTAAGCATGTTTTTACTAATATGTGGGTGCATGTGAATATGAAATATTCGTGTGTGCGTGTATTTATTCGTACTATGCCCTTTAGCTTAGAAATTCATTAGTTCAGTTTAGCGTAACACATTAGCAAAAGTTTCTCTTTTTTTCTTCATATTCCTTCCTTTAACTAGATACTTGAATACTATGTTTTCAACACTACTTTTCAAAAAGGGGCATAAAAGCAGTTCAAGGTTAGAGATGTGGCAAATACGAATACTTGAAAATTCTTAATTTAGGGCCTAAACTATTTTTCTGCTTCTGCTGTAAAATATTTATTTTCCAAAGGGTTATATTTTTAAAATTATTTATTTAAAATTTTTTTAACGTCATAAAATAATTTTGTAAATGAATTTCAATTCGTTGTTTATTAAATTTTCTAAATTTATATTTAATTTTTTTTTTTCACTTATGTTCCTGTGGTAGTATTTGTATATTTTTTCATTCTTAATAAATGCGAAAAAGTTTTCAGTTGTTAGTTTTTTTTTCAGCTACAAACTTACGGCATGAAATATGGCAGAGCTCTTTAAAAAGCTGTTGATTTTCTAGGAGTGGTTTGTGGAAAAATAATGTTCTGAATATTTGTTACTTAGAAACTTTAATTATAAAGTTAAAGAAATGTTTTTAGTTTAAAGTAAATAAAAATTTATTGGGAATATTAAATGTGAAAATGGACCGTTAACTAAGGAATTGGCTATATTTTCTTAAAAGAATTTAACCAGACAAATGTTAGAAAATTGATTTTTATTATGAATGAGGTCATATATGTACATTAGTTGCATTAAACCGTTGTTAAAGGGAATTATGAAAGTCGTTTAATTTTTATTGAAATTTACTTATTTGCCTTCCATTTTAATTAAATACAAAGTGAAGATGTAGAAAATACTTTAAAGTTTAATAAAATTTAAGTATATATGTATATATAATTACAGCTTTATAAATAGTCTGTCTGTCTGTCTGTCGTCTGTATGTATGTATGTATGTATGATGTATGTATGTATGTATGTATGTATGTATGTATGTATGTATGTATGTATGTATGTATGTATGTATGTATGTAGTATGTATGTAGTGTATGTATGTATGTATGTATGTATGTATGTATGTAGTATGTATGTATGTATGTATGTATGTATGTATGTATGTATGTATGTATGTATGTATGATGTATGTGTATGTATGTATGTATGTAGTATGTATGTATGTATGTATGTATGTATGTATGTATGTATGTATGTGTATGTATGTATGTATGTATGTATGTATGTATGTAGTATGTATGATGTATGTATGTCTGATGTATGTATGTATGTATGTGTATGTTGTATGTATGTATGTATGTATGTATGTATGATGTATGTATGTATGTATGTATGTATGTATGTATGTAGTATGTATGTATGTATGTATGTATGTATGTATGTAGTATGTATGTATGTATGTATGTATGTATGTATGTATGTATGTATGTAGTATGTATGTATGTATGTATGTAGTATGTATGTATGTATGTATGTATGTATGTATGGTATGTATGTATGTATGTATGATGTATGTATGTATGTATGTATGTATGTATGTATGTATGTATGTATGTATGTATGTATGTAGTTGTATGTATGTATGATGTATGTAGGTATGTAGTATGTATGTATGTATGTATGATGTATGTATGTATGTATGTATGTATGTATGTATGTATGTATGATGTATGTATGTATGTATGTATGTATGTAGTATGTATGTATGTATGTATGATGTATGTATGTATGTATGTATGTATGTAGGTATGTATGTATGTATGTATGTATGTATGTATGTATGTATGTATGTATGTATGTATGTATGTATGTATGTATGTATGTATGTATGTATGTGTATGTATGTATGTATGTATGTATGTATGTCTGTATGTTATGTATGTATGTATGTATGTACTGTATGTATGTATGTATGTATGTATGTATGTATGTATGTATGTATGTATGTATGTATGTATGTATGTATGTATGTATGTATGTATGTATGTATGTATGATTATGTATGTATGTATGTATGGTATGTATGTATTGTATGTATGTATGTATGTATTGTATGTATGTATGTATGTATGTATGTATGTATGTATGTATGTATGTATGTAATGTATGTATGTATGTATGTATGTATGTATGTATGTATTATGTATGTATGTATGTATGTATGTAGTATGTATGTATGTATGTATGTATGTATGTACAGTGGACGTCCAATAGTACGTATACTCTTTATTACGAATATCCAATAATACGAATGGCAAAATTGTTGCATTGGTCTACTCTATAGTACGAATAAAGTCACACTTTTTCTGTTCGATAGTACGAATAACGCATTTTTTATGGGAATTTTGGTTTTATTTTGAAGTTTTTTTGTATTTATTACAAGTGTTTTGTATTTTTAAAAATCCTATACACACAATTTACTGCATGTATATTTACAAATCAACAATTATTTAGTGTTATTAATTTATTTTATTGGAATTTTGATGACCCAAGAGAAGAAATTAAATTGGATGATAACGCCAATGAGGAAAGTATTTTGTTAGTTCCCGACAATAACTCTGCTGAGAACAATATTGAAGCCTCAAAAGCGCTGTTATTGAAAAAGCCGTAAGAATCATTTTACAATGTAATAAACATCGATGTTAAATGATGGTTTTTTTAATAAGTAAAATGATATTTATATACATATGTATGTATGAACTGTTAATTTTGAAAGTAGTGTGACTCCACATTCCAAACAATGGGTTTAAGGACAACTATTCTAATTTTTAATAGAAAATTATAAATTAGAGAATTGTGGTATATTCCATTCAAGTTTCTAATAAAAGTTTTATGTAATCTGAACATTTTAATACATTTTAGAACACATATGTAAATTGCAAATTGTCTTTGGCACACATCTTTTTAAAAACATTAAAATTTAAAACCTTCTACATATATCTTATTTCAACCATTGGACTCACGATACTTTCAAAATTAACAATTCATATACGTAAATATGTCCCTTTTATGCCTGTTTATGTACAAGAAATTCATTTAAAATAATACACATTTATTATATTTTGTTCCGTTATGTAATTTTTCATGAAAAATAAAACAAAAATAAATAAAATCCAATATTTTATGTGTATTATTTGAATTTAAGCATACAAAATGTGTTGTTCAATAATACGAATTTTTCGGTATTACGAAAGGGCCTGACACTATATAATTCGTACTAGTGGACGTCCACTGTATGTATGTATGTATGTATGTATGTATGTATGTATGTATGTATGTATGTATGTATGTATGTATGTATGTATGTATGTATGTATGTATGTATGTATGTATGTATGTATGTATGTATGTATGTATGTATGTATGTATGTATGTATGTATGTATGTATGTATGTATGTATGTATGTATGTATGTATGTATGTATGTATATATGTTTGTTTAATAAATACTTACGATATCTTCCATCTTCAATACAAAAAAAATCAGCAAAAATTGTTGTCTATTTGATGACACTACTAAAAAGGTGTCGTATGATTAATATTTATTTAGAACTTAAATTAACATAACTATTATTTAACTATAGAACTATAAACAAAACATAACTATTATTTAAATTTTTTCTCTTTTTAGATAACGACATATTTTAATGAAACATCATGGATAAATCCCTCAGAAACCGATACGATAGTGGGTGAGGATCCCGAAGTGGAGTCACTTTTATCATTAGTTGTTGTTGGTAAAGTAAATGTCGTTGAATGTCTCTATCTCTTCCTTAAATAAAAACTCTCTCAATCGCATAATACAGACACACACACATAGTGAAACTTAATATAACAAGTAACGTAAAAACACACATACTCATATACATACATTCCAAATCCCTCCAAGCATACAAACTAAATCCTAAAACAAGCATGTTCTCTATGCATCATGTTGCATGTTGTATTCGCAGAATAAATTGCAGAAAAAAGAAGTTGTCTTTTTTTAATAACTTTTCTTTACAAAGTGTTTGCATTCAAATGGAAAACTCTATACGTATACATACATATGTGTCTGTGAAAATGTTTTTGCATTTAACATCAATCATGCCATAAATTCAGACAGTCACCCACCCACTCGATTTATTCAATCACACATTCATCACAAACAGTGACTACCTTCGTATTCATTTATCTTAACATGTCTGTCTGTTTGCCTGTCTTTTTGTCTATCTGTCTGTTTTGTTGTCATTGGAAATCATGAATATTCCCTATCTAGTTTTTTGGAATTTTTTAATCATAATATTTTGTTCTCTTTCTTTTTGTAACTTTACTTTCTCCCGTTTTCTTGCTTCTGTTATTTTTTTTTTGTCATTTATTTCGCAGGCATTTTCCTATCTGTACTAATATTCTTGTCAATTGCCGGAAATATACTCGTCTGCCTTGCTATCTATACAGAACGCAGTTTGCGTCGTATTGGGAATTTATTTCTAGCATCATTAGCAATTGCGGATTTATTTGTGGCTTCGCTGGTGATGACATTTGCTGGAGTTAATGATTTGTTGGGTAAGTTTTCATATTTACAATTTTTACTTCTTTTGCTGTAATACATTTCGCTCAAATAAAGGAACAAAGTTTAAAAAAAGCCAACCAAATATTGTGAAGGTTATCAATTTTGGTTTGGTGTTTCTTTATTGTAATGATAGAGACTGGGATGTGTTTGTCAACAAATTGATGTGAGTTTTCCAATCAAATAATTTCGCTGTTGTTGTATGGGTTTTCATTTTGGTACGTGTTAGATTTCATTTTTAGTTAATATTTTTTGAAAAAAGTTTGGAAGAATTTCTAACGTTTTTTAGTGAGATATAAAACATTAAAAATATTTTGGTATATGTGAATATTTTGCAAATAGCTGATATGTTGAAAAAATATAAATTATCAATAAATTTTCTTTTTAAAAATACATTACTAAATGCAAATACCTATTTGAGTTATCTTTACACAGTATATGCAACACTTTTTAGGTCTTAGATTTCTTAATTAAAAATTTTTAATTTAAAGTTTAAATCGAGTTTACGGTTTAACAACCTAAAGACCATAGGTTCGATTAGCGGTATTAATTACTCGGGTTTTTTGTTTTAATCGATTAATTCAACAAATTGTAATCCGAGTTATGTATAATTTATATATATTTATGATATGCTCTTACTAAACTGAAGCCAATAACTGCCGATCGTCAAGAGCCACTGTTGCATGTTATGGATCTTAGTTCCTTTCAATATAGGCTTAGGTTGTTGTTGTAGCAGCGACACGTCCAAAGTCGATGTTGCTGAATTGACAATACTTTGTAGTTGTTCGTTGAATTCCCAGTTGTTCGTTACATGATCTGGCTAGCCGACCTAACCGATCCTTAAAATATTTGCTGGAAAGGTAACGTTCCTATAAAAGTTATTTTTGACAAATTCATCGCTGTAATTGAGGTTTTAGGCTAGTAATGAGTATTATTTGGGGGAGTTAGGTTTAATTATAGATCGATCCTCATAAAATTTTGAAATTTTGATTTCTATAAAATGTATTTATGATGAATTTTATAGCTTTGGTGTAATTTTTGAGAGTAAAGTAATTGAACCGATCCTCATAAAAATTGGCAGGGAGATTTTGGTTCCAGCAATATAGTATGTTTGTACCATTTTATTAAAAAAAAGTGCCAAATTTAATTTTATTACAGTGTTAACATGGATGGACGGACAGATTGATGGACATCGCTAGTTGTGTGTAGAACCAATATTTCTATGCTTTACCAATACACATATACTGAAAAAAGGTCAAATCTTGTTATATTTTTATATCGATTTAGTCATTCCGTTTGTAACATATCAAATTAAATTCTAAGACGATCTAGCTACGTCCGTCCTTCTGTCTGTCCATCTATTTGTCTGTTGAAAGCACGATTGGTAGAATCTCTACCAAAATTTATAAGGATCGGCTCATAATTGACAGTACAGCGATGAATTTCGACATAAACTAGTTTTATGTGAACAAAAATCGTTTTATAACATTTTATTAGGATCGGTCCATAAGTGAACCTACTCCTTATATAAAAGTTCCCTTCAGAAAGTTACGAGTACAGAGATGAAAATCGACATAAAGTTTTATAGGAAAATAATTCTTAATTCCGAATTCAATGAGGATTGATCTAAAACTGACAATAGCCCATATATGTATAAGGTTCCCTTCAGGAAAGGGTTTTACTTATTTAAAAGGAGTATTCCTTATTTAAAATTACGAGAATAGAGATGAAATCTTTCAATTGAATATTACGACAATTATCCATAATTAACCCTACTGCCCATAAATATTTTTATGGTTTAAAAATTGGACAAAATGTTAGGGGAGCATTCCTTTAAAGGTACACGGTTTAATGTTGGATATATAAGAATATAACACTCTTACTTGTTTCATTTTAGCAAAATTATTATAAAAACTATAACAATCCTTTTAAAGTACATAATTAAGTTTAAAAAGTTTTTCATCTAATTAATACTGCTTATATTTATTTATTATTGTGCTTAAAATACATATTTTTAATTATATCAAATAATAAGTTTTTCTTGCCTTTGTGAAATAAGCAAAAATAAAGTAATTGAATTTATATTTTAAATAAATATTACAATTGTCATAGTAAAACTTTATTATTTTGAAAAATTATATTTAAATTAAAATGGCGATGCCAGTCTGTGAGTAAGGGCGGAATCATTCACAGGTTGATACAATAGTATAACATCCATATTGATATTGTTGGCATTAAAAAGTATGGAATGAGAGAGACAGAAACTTATTTAGAAATTCAATTGAAAAAAGAAGCAAAAAAATAAATTGTTAAGATAAATAACTAAAGTTTTCTTTCATACACTTCAAATACAATAGACATCCGTGTTAGTAAGAAAAACCAATACTTTTCTCGCCTTCTTTTTTTCCAATATAATGTAATATTGAAGAGAATTTTCTTTATCCTAAAAAAAAAAGAAAAACCTGTTGATGGAATAAAGTATCAAACACTTACCACACAAGCATTCATTTATTCATTCTCTCACACACTCACCAACACTTGAACATGGAGTCCTGTTATTTTTTAACACATACATACATCTGTATATGTATGATGTATATTTACACTTGTGCACATGTGTATATGTGTATAATGTATATCCGCTACAAAACTTAACGGAAATAAGGTTTATTGACAATAACAAAAAGAAATCGAATAAAGTATAAGCAGACAAAGATGAACAAACTGAGGGGAGAATATCACAAACTTTTTCTTTAAAACTCTCCTGACACAAAATTCAATTTACACCAAATAAATTGTACCTAGACTGCTAAGGCATTATGTTTGAAACGGAAATTATGTATAAGTGCGGGTGTGTGCGTGCGTATGTGTACATACTTTTATGTGTACGTGTGTCTAAGACTATATGTACAATTTCCGTTGATAAGCAATATGTTGGTCTGTAAGCGTCTAAAGTACGTGTGTATATGTATGTAACTTACTATATGATAAATTTTAGTACAAATCTTTCAACACAATTATTATAAATATGTATATTAAGGATAATAAAAAATCAAGGTAAATTTAGTACAGGTAAAAAACCGCATAAATATTACATAGAGATCTCTCACTGCCCATAGCAGACACAGAAGGAAACCTGCCGAGGAAAACAGGAGTAGTTCTTGCACAACAATGATAGATATGGAGGAAACAAATTATTGCCTATTGGTCACTCATTGACCGTGCCGTCCCCAACAATGTCCAGCTTGTGGTCATGGTCCTAACTATATTATTATAGAGTTTTTGCTGTTACAACAACAAACAGATTATACCTATACCAAACAAAATTTTAAGCTGAAACTAATTTTAACATAGTAGTTAAGAAAATTTTCCTCACCAACCCTACATTACAGACCTTATCCTAGCCGACTACTACATATATTTATTTTAACGCTTCGCTGAAATACTTTACTTCAGAACATATCCGAAATTGGATTGATTCGTCCATGGCCTCCAAAATCGATTTTTTGAGTTGTGTCACTTGACATGAAATTCCCCATATGTATATATATGTATATATAATTTAAATATAAATCATATTATAAACGTAAATCTGTATCGGGCCACAATTGGTCATAGCTTTCATAGAAAGTTCACTTCCGAAAATCACTTAAGAAATAAATATATCGAAATAAAATTTAACAGAAATATGTTCTGTGTGTATATAAATCACTATGAAATTTTTTTCCGTATCGGTCCATAGTTGGTCATAGCTGCCCAATAACATCCACTTCCGAAAATCACATATTTCATTGATAAAAAATAAGTTTTTTGTTTATACAAATTACTTCGAACTTATATGGGTGCCGGGCCCACTTCCGAAAGTCTACTAAACGGATATACATGTATTTAATGTATATGTACATTTACCAACAAACTTTTTCCATGAAAAGGAGCGATATTGGCATAGGTGTATTTCTTCGGATTTGATGTAGATACATCCTTCTAAAAATCTAACTTAATCCAACCTAAAGTATATGTAAATCACCTCGCTATATTTTTCCCCGATTGGACATCTCTCCCATACAAGATCCATTTTTAAAAATACTTAATCATTCTGCCAAATTTTTTCCGGACTAATGTATAATTGATCATAGTTCTCATATAAAATCCGCTTTTAAAAGTCACACAATTCATCATATTTTGTTAACAATTTTTTCGGATTAGTTCATAATTGGTCATATCTCCCATAAAAGGTCCATAAATTTGTTATGGACCTGATCAATAAATGATTTCTAAATGATATTACCCACATTACGGAGTTAAAGTTAAGCTTTCACAATTTGAATATTAAATATCTAAAAATATTTAGATAGATTTTTACAAAAGTAGCTTACAGGTGAAGAATATTTAAGATTCGGCATAGGCATAGCACTCTATCTTAATGTTTTTTATAACCGAAATTATTAAAAAATGGTCTTTTATATCCCAAGCGAATTAGCGATATCCAACTGCCAGTTTGGTCAAAGCAAAATAAGTCTCAAGCGGAAACTTATTTTTATACCCTACACCACTATAGTGGGGAGGGTATTATGCGTTTGTGCTGATGTTTGTAACACCCAAAAATATTGGTCCTACACCCACCTTAAAGTATACCAATCGGCTCAGAATCACTTACTGAGTCGATTAAGCTATGTCCGTCTGTCCGTCCGTCCGTCCGTCTGTCTGTGTGTCCATGTAAACCTTGTGCGCACTCTACAGGTCGCAATTTTTGAGATAATTTGATGAAATTTGGAACATGCACTTCTCTTGATCCAAGGACGAACGCTATTGAAAATGGTTGATATCGGTCCATTATTTCACCTAGCCCCCATACAACCGGACCCCCCGAATAGGGCTTTTGACCTCATAATTATGTTAAATGAACTGCTATCTCTACAAAAATTGGAAAAATTTAGTTTTATATATGTCTTAATAATTCTAGTAATTTTCGTAAAGATCGGGCATTATTTGACCC